TTCCCAAGGTGGAATTGAAGGTCAAACAAATCTCTCTTTGTGAAGCCTTGTCTCTTACCATTATGCTGGAGAACTTTTAAATGCCTGACACACTTTCAAGTATGTGCAGTCAATACAGGCAGTGAATCTGTTTAAGGACTGCTGTTGAGTAACTGGGTAAAAGGTGTCTGCATAACAGATGGAAGATGCCAGAACCTGTGTCCAAGTGGTTGTGCTAGTGTCAGGAGGGATCCTGTCTGTGCTAGGAAGGATAAATCCACCAACATGACTTCCAGCAGGCTGTGCCTTGCCCAGACTGGCCAGAGTGCTGAGTCTCACCCTGCCAGGAGCAGTGAGGGGTCAGTGAGGTGACTCACTGGGGCTCTGTTGTTGTCTCTTCTGGTGGGCTGCTGGCTGTGCTGCAGAGAGCTCCAGTCACCTTAGTGCTTTACACACATCACTGTGATCCCAGCTATGCCCTGCATGCATTCCTCAGGAGCTGTTCCTGTCAGGAGCCAAGAGTGAGCAGTCTCTTGGCAGTTTTATCTTGCATGTTTGGCAGAGCATGTCTGCTCAGGAATCTTGATGTTATAACACCTGCTTGGTGGATTTGTTGTTTTTTCTGTTCCAGAGCAGAGTCATAGCCATGGACAAAGAGGAGGCTGCTGTGGATCTCACCAGGGAGAATGCACATAGGTACAAGAACACATATTACTCATTTTTTTAATAATTGTTGCTTGAGAAAGACCAACAGTTGTCAATACTTGTACGTGTGTTTCATGTTTATCACCACTGGGAACCAGAGACTGTTTAATTGTTGAGCTCTCAAAGTGTGTAACAATTTAGGAAAAAAGAAAGCTCGTGTTTACCAGAGTGTATTTCTTTGGTTTGTGAACATGCTTTGCAAAGACAGCAGCCTAAATAATGCAGTGGTACTCACGTGCTGTTTGTCAAGGGTTTTCACAGTGTTTTTTGGTAGCTATTCTTACCCCTGTCTGTGAACTCAGGAAGCTCAGGACTGAAGTAGGAATGTTTATGTCACTTAGGAGGTTAAGGACAAGTGTATCCTGAGCCTTTCTCTCTCTGGCTCCCTCAGTTGTTATTGTTGTGCTTGTTTCTGTCCTTGCTCCTCCAGAAATGCTTGCACAGTCAAGTAGCACTTTTCCTCTGATGTGCTGCCTGGTGTCCCTCAGCATCCTCCCTGCAGTCCTGGTTTGGTGGAATGGTGCTGCTGGATCCCATGCAGTTCAGACACCTGTGCTGTGGCAGGATGGATGTTCAGAGCTGCTGGCTCAAACACCTTGTGCTGAAGTCAGAGAGATGTCTGTCAGGTTGTCCTTGTCCTTCCTAGAGCTCCACTTCCTCAGCTGGTTCTTCTGTCAGGTTGTTCTGGATGTCACTAGCACAGGGACCCCCCGAACTGGAATCCCACTATGCTTCTGAGTCTCTGTAGGCTTTGTCAAATGAGCTCCAGATTGCATTCACATCCTCAGTAACTGCTGGGCCCTAGGCATTCATTAGAGCCATCTCAGAAAAAATTCCTGTTGCTGTTTCTCATGGAGTCCAGTACAGCTGTGAGTCTCAAGAGGTGCTCATTAACTGGGATTTCTGTCCACAGACCCACAAACCCCTCTTTTCCCAAGCTGCTGCCAGCACTCGGGGGGGCTACTTCTGGTGCTGGCTGCACTGGGCTGCATTTCTTCACTTCTTGCAAGTCCCAGCTTGTGTGTGAGTCTGAAGAGCTGAGTAAGAGCAAGCCCTTCCCAAACTGGTACCTCACTGTTACCCTTTGCCTCCTAGCCCAGTTACAGAGAATGGGGAGCAGAGGTTTCTTCCTAATGTGTCAGTGTCAAACCAAATTCTGTTGCAATTTTTCATAGATATAATAAAAGCTGGCCAGATCTTTGTCTCCTTGATAAACTATAACTCTGGCCTCTGGGGAAAATTGCCTTGCTTATTAACATTGCTTCTTGGCTCAAGAGTGGATGAGGGAGTATAAATGCCATGTCAGAGAGCTAAATATTTCTCCATGGATATTTTCGTTGTGTCTTTGTGATCTTGTCCCTGGCATGGTGCCCTGTAGCTCTTGGGAGAGAAGCTAGCAGGATAAGCTGTGTTACTGCTTGACTGAACCCAGCTTAGATCCTGCCTGCTTTTCAGAGCTCCCTCATCCCAGCTGTGCTCTCTGGATGCTTAGATGAGTCTTACTGGATCAATCCCAGTGCCAGGTCCATCTGGGCACATGGCACACAGTGCAGGAATCCCTCCCTTTCCTGATGCCCTCAGCAAAGGGAATAGAACTTGGGTGTGAGGCCACTGTGGTGGGAGGAGAGAACATGCTGGGAGGATCTTGGCAGCTGTGAATGTATGTGTACCAGATAAGAGGTGCAATATTTAATGATCTCTTTGTAGAATGTATTGCTCATGAACAATACACCTCCTAATCTTTCTTCTTTCCGTTGTTGCATCTTGCATCTGGAATTTTACAGGTTGCAACTCCAAGAAAGGATTCACATCATCCACCAAGATATTTCACACAGTAACTCTTTTCACTCTTATAATCCCTTTTGTCTTTGATGGGTGGAGGGAGGCATGAGAGGCAGCCAAAGAATCATTCTGGGATGCAGGCAGCAGAAGAGTGTTGAAGTTAATAGAGAAAAAGGTCAATAAGAAGTGAGCCAGTGAAGCTTTTCCCTGCAGAGATTTCCAGGGCAGATGATCAGCTGACAGAAGTCCCTAATTGTATCAGAAAGTGAATTGTTCCTGGTTTAGGTGTCCCAAGGTTGTATCTGAGCTGGGAGTCCAGGTGCTCTTTACTGTTGCTGGGGAGAGGCAAATATATAAAGAGTGTAATTCATTCCCTGCTGACATGGAGGCTTTAGATAAACATCTGCATGTCTGTTTCTCCATTGATGGTAGAGGGAGCCCATATATTTAGCTTAGATTAAATGCCCAACCATATTAACCTGAAATTAGGCTAGTTGGACCAGGAAAGGATGCTTTTCATCCCCAGAACCTGCTGAAACCAGTTAAAACTGGCATTTGGTGGGGCCTGTCCAGTTGGGTGGATAGTGCTTGGCTGTTAGTCAGCAGCTGTGGAGGCAGGAGCTGCAGCACTGTGGGTTCATTAGCACACCTTTGTGCACTTGTTTGTGGCACTGCTGCCTCTTAGAGCTGAAAGCCCTGTGCCAAGAGGCTGCCCAAGGACAGTGCCACACTCACATGGTTCCATCAGCTCTGATTCAGGGCTGGCCTGTGTCAGAGCAGGAGTGTAGGGAGCTGCTCCTGGTCTGCATGAGAGCAGCCCTTTGCTGGTTTTGCTGAGGGGCCCTGGCTCTGCAGCTCGCTGGAGGTCCTGCTGCAGCTCTGTAAGAGGAGGGATGTTCACCTGGACAGGCAGTCTAAGCTCCCACTTAGGCCTTTGTGGGCTCTTTAGATCCCAGTGGGCACAGAGCTCCAGGGCATCAAGCTCCTGTGCTTTTTAACATGTTTTGTTAAGCAGGCTCTTGATATGAAAAAATCATCTGTGCTTTCCTTTGTATCACTCTTGCACTCCTGAGACAGGGAGCAAGGCACACCATTGCAGAAAGAAATAGGATAAAATTTTATGATCACAAAGCAGAGTGAAACACATATCCATGTGCCTGGAGACAGTTTCCTGGGGAGAATCTTTACACTGAGCTTATAGGGAAGATGCTGTGGTTGAGAGCTGCTTGTGATTCTTTTTCTTTCCTAGGTTCTGCCAAAGAGCTGTTGCTCTGGGGCCCCATAGATGTCATAGTCAGTAACCCCCCATATGTTTTCCATGAAGACATGGCTTCCTTGGATGCAGAAATCCTCTGGTAATCAAACAAGGAGATTTTTCCTCTCCTGTTCCTTGAAGCAAGGTTTTCTGTCTGCTTCCTATACTACACACAGTTGCACACAAAACACGCAAATGTAATATACACAGGCAAAATATAGGTGTGTTTATTTGGGATATAATAACACAGGCTTGCTTTGATACTGCTTACATGCCTGAAGCAACATGGAAGATTTCTTAAAATAGAAAAAGTACACAGTTTGAAATTAGCAAGTTCCCAATCCAAAACTGATTGTCATGCATGTGAGAAGAAAGTCCTGTCCCCACCTCTGTACAAGATGTGCACCAGAGCAGGTTCTGGCAGCTGAGCTTTCTGCATCCCAGCTGGCTCTGCTGGGCCAGCCACAGCCTGAGCTGCTGTCTGGCATGGATCAGTCAAGCCCTTGCTGCACAACACCCTTGCTCTCTGGCCAGCTTAGAGAGAACAGACCTATGTGCTGGATCCCAGCTACAGTTGGCTTCTAACTTTCAGAAATACTTCAGGGGATGTTTTCTCCTTGTGCTGAATGTGGGGTTTCTCAGCCCAGTGGTAGCTGCTTCTCCCTCCCTGTGTTCCCCACTGAAGTGAGTGCCATCCCCTGCTTTGGGGGTGCTGGAGTTCAGGTGTGGCAGCTGCACCTTTCTTTGTGGAGTGATGCAGGAATTGCTGTCAAATGTCTTTTTCTTCCCACACTCCAGCTATGAGGACCTTGATGCCCTGGATGGGGGAGATGATGGCATGAGAGTCATCAAAACAATTCTGGCTTTGGCTCCTTCTCTTCTCAAGGTTTCTGGGTAAGCACTATCATCTTTTGAATTTCAGGTCTTTTATCCATCCATTCTGTAAATTCTGTACTTCCTGTATGAAAACAAAACAGAGAAAATAGTTGCCAATTGTCCTCTCATTGCCCCAGTTAGTAATAGTTTTTAAAATGTCATGTGTGCAAGTAAAATTAGCTTGAAATTGGTGTTAGCCTTTCCTTGGCTGTTGGTGGCATTTCCTGGTCATTAGTGAAGGGAGAATCTTTGAAGGTGAAAGCAACAACAAAAAGAACATGGAAGAGAGCAGCCAAGAAAGAGAGTGCAGAAAGCAGGGGAGCTTTCTAAAATGAGTAACTGATGGAAGGAGAAGCAATGGACATCTCTTTGAGGGTGGATGTAGATCCCCACTTCCCTCCCACCCTTTCATTAGGGGAAATTTCTTTGTTGTGCTAGTATAGAATGCTGAATATCCCAGGAAAATGAAGATCAGTCAGGGATAGTTTCTTAAATGTTAAATTTCTCCATGATTAATATTCAAACCTGATTGTTCCTATTCTCTGTCACGTGGGATCCATTTTGAAGATCACCATGCTGATACCCAAAAGTCTGGGTGTAGTGTTCATGTGCCAGGGCATTCACACATCCCATTGAATGTTCCTGACATTTGGCCACCATAAGAGAGGTCATTGAAAATCTGCTCTTTAGAGAAGAAGAATGGGAATATTGAGAGGCACAGTGCATGCAGAATTCATTCCTCATGCTTTGCATGACCACAAGAGAAGAAGATGCTCCTCAGAATTTCCCAGCATTAGAGACTGGTCCTGTGGGGTTGTTTCTTAAGACTATTTCTTCTCCTTCTCTTTTTGCTTGTTTAATAAGGTCAAGCCCTCATTGAGGAGTGGAAGTTTTTTAAGGTCAGAAATGAGATCCACACCCAGCTTGTAGTTAGCCTGGTGAATTTGTAGGGATTATTCAGTGTGGGATGTTTTAAGTGTTCTCAGGAGAGCATTTGATGGGGTTTGGCTTGTGGCCTTAGCCTGCTGAAAGTGTCTCTTGCTGTGTCCCAGGCCATAACCAGCTCCATCACTCCCTGTGCCTGTGAGCTGGGGTGGTTCTGCTTTGTCACAGGAGGGAACATGGGGAATGAGCCAGTCATAAAGCCTGGCAGAGATGGAAATTGCCCTGCAGTGCCCAGGCCTGGTACTGGTGCCCTAACTGAGGTTATTTGGTCAGTTCTATGTAGGCCTAAATGCTGGTGTTGTTTTCATAACTGATTTATGGAGACATTTACTGTGGAAGAATGTGTGTTCTGACTTGTACTTCATGTCTCTTGCTGCTCATACACAGAGGGACTTCAGGCTGCCAGGCCAGTGCTCAGTGCTCCTGCAGCATAAAAAAAATGCTGCCTTTAAATCTTTGGGGGTTTCAGCAGCAGATGGCTGGTGGAATCTCTGGGTGAGCTTCAGAAGGGCTCATTACATCTTGATACAAGACTTTAACTCCTCACTCACAGTACCATGAGAATTCCCCCCAGGATCAACACTTTCTCCCCTGAAGGAGGCAGCTGGAATCTGCATCTTATGTGGACAGCTATGATCTATCTGGTTTGGGGTTGTTGGACTGCACTGTGTTTACTGACCTTTTCATTTCCTGCACTGGTCAGAGTCACACAGAAAGAAAGATCTTAATTTTCATCAGTTTAGCAACCTAAATGTGCATCTCTCCAATTCTGCTCCCAAATGTGCCTTTTCAGGAGTGTGTTTCTGGAAGTAGATCCCAGGCATCCAGATATGGTGGAGCACTGGCTACAGGCACACCCAGAATTACTGCTCACCCTCCATGCCATTCACAAGGACTTTTGTGGCAAGTAAGTCTTGTTTTGCCTTTACATTTTTGGAGGTTTTGTGTCCTTTGAAGAATATGTCCCTGCACCTTTAGGTATTGAGTGAACCCAGAGCAGCTTCACAGCTGAAGCCAGTCTTTGACAAAACAGGGGCTCCCTGGTTGTATCTCAGCTTTCTGATATTCTGAAACAGCCTGACAAGTGTTGGAGTCAGAAATTCTCACCCAGGTGAGCATTTCTGAAGGGGTGATTGGCTCTGGTGGGGTTATTGCCATTGGAGAATTACTGCTCTTATAGGATGGAGGTAGAGGCACATTGTCCCTAGTGAGACTTATAGCTCTGGTCTTTCTTCTTTCCACAGGCCTAGGTTTCTGCACATCCAGAAACAAAGCAGCTGACAACTGTCAGACATAACTCTCCTTGCAGGATGCTTTTTGCTCTTGAGCCCAGCGGAGCAGCTGGTTGAAAACTCCTCCTGCCTTGTGAGAGGAATCTCCATTCCCTGCAATGTTGGACTTTTCATGCAGTGACAGACCCCTCATATCCTGACACAGGCCTCATCCAGAGATGCAGAAGTTCAGCTGAGCATGTGGAAGTGTTCCACCTTCCTCAGGGAACTGCATGAAACATTTTAGTCTGCTCTGCTAAAGTGACTCAATCATCTCAGGACCTAAGATAGAAGAGTTCACAGCTCCAGATTAAAAATATAACTTCTCAACGTGCCAGATCACCCATTTGGCCTAGAAAGAATTTAATTATATTTTTTTTAATTGGCCTTGAGATGCATTTATATAAAATGTGACCAGATGGGGTGATAAGCTCAAATCCTGGCTTATACTGGCACATGGATTTGCAGGTATAACAGGCCATAACTGTTGTGCACATTTCAGATGCAGTTCTGTTTCAGGATCCTGATGCTCCAATAGCAAAGCAGCCTTTGTGTCCCACTCCTGCTGAGTGATTGTCTCTGAAGGATCTTAGAGCACCTGAATTTACAGCCTTTGACATTTGGTGGATGCTGCCAGAAATGGTCAACACATTATAATAAAGACAGTGCTTCAGACCAGGGTCCTTACAAGAATTTCACTGCAGCTATTTAGAGATGCTGGCAGGCCTGAATAAACATCTGGCACCCACACATTGCTCTGATAGTAATAGAAATGCCTAAATTCCACATGAGGCATTTAATTGCAACATTTTAAAGAGAAGGCCACAGTCACTACTCCACTTTTGCAGATGGAGAAGTGGAAAAACAGGAGGTGAAGTGACCTGCAGAAAGTTTGACAAGCTGAGTTTGGAGTAGGACCCAGGCTCTTGACAGGCGTGGGAGTAGCTGAGGTCTGTCTCTCTGGGAAGGATGACTCAGCCCAGGCCAGCCTGAAACAGCTCTGAGAGAGGTCCCCAAAGTGGACAGTCAACATCATGTCAGTGTAAATAATGGCAGGGTGAAATTCAAGCTGCTGCTGCTGTTTGCAGTGGTGCAGGTTCCCTTCTGGAGCACAGCTAGCCAGGGAAGGAAGGAAAGGAGCCAAGGAAAGGGTCTGCTCTGCCAGGCCAGATAGAAGCAGTTGCTGGGCCAGTGGAGGTGAGCACTCAGGAGGGGTGGGAGCATCCAGCCAGGGCCCTGCTGTGTGTGCCAGGGGGGAGCTCCCAGGCTCTGTCCAGGCTGGCTGGGGCTGCACAGCCAGGAGCATCAGGCAGGACATGCAGCAGCAAGCTGAGTCTGTTGGAAGGCTGCAGCAGGGTCACAGGGTGTTACATGAGCCCTGATACATCTGTTCCCTTTCCCCTCTGCCTCTCCCACACTCTCACTCCTCAGATGAGTTTTCTCCATCCCCTTCACTGCTGAACATCAGCCCTGCTTTCCCACAGACACCTGAGCTCTCTCTGATGAACCAGCACTTGGGTCCCAGCTGGAACCTTTCCCTACTCACAGCTCTGCTCACAGGCTTGCCTTTCACCCATTGTACATTTCACATTACATTTATCCACTCCAGTAGTTTACCGTGTTCTGTACACTCTTTACTTGAATTTTTGAGTCTTCTCTGGCCTGCAGTACCTGCCCTGGTTAAACACAGTAGAAGAAAGTAGAAGAAGGAGAGAACAAAAATAGGTCAGTTAAAGTGCACTTGAGCAAAGGTTTGAAAATACCACTTCAGTACAGCTCATTTCTGGCCTCCCAGAGCCATGAGTACAAAGTACAGTCAAAGGGTATTTTGTGTGGTTGTGGCCTTTTTCCTAACAGTAATTTAGGGGTATTCAGTTTGTCAGATTTTGTTTAAAAATTAAATTTAAAGAAATGAGTTCTTAGATTTCTTCTGGGTGTTAGCAGTGTTTGTGTATGAAACAGAGCATTCTGCACAGCCTGCTTCTGCAGGAGGTCTTAAAAGCTGGGAAGCCCATGGGCTGATGGGAGTGTTAAACAGCATCATGCTGCATTCTTTAGAGGGTGGGCTGGTTCCCTGCAGCAGACAGGTGCTAGGTGGCTCTACAAGAGTGCCAGTGGCTGGGCTGCAGAAGGCAGTGTGCTTTTTCTTGGAAGCACCAGTGAATCCCCTGTCCGAGCCCTGAGCAGGACAAATCCCCTGCAAGACAGACTATTGGTCTAATCCAGTAGGATCAGTGTTAAATTCCTATTCTTACCACTAAAACACTTGCATTTCTATGTCTTTACATTGCTTAGTCATTATATATCTTGGAAAATCACATGGTGCTGCTGACCTTTTCATAAAAGGAAAAATTGCTGTTCTCCCAGGAGGCTGGATGTTCCTGTCAGACTTGCATCCGAGGGAATGTGCTGCTGTAGTACAGTGTGTTCCTGGTGCTTTACACACATTGGCCTGGGCTCCTTTTGGTACAGAAGCACTGCAAAGCTCTTTGGAGGCCTGGCTGTGGAGCCCTGGGCCGTGTGTGTGCTGCCTGAGGGCAGGAGGCCGAGCTGGCACCGGCAGAGCCCCGGGCACGTGAGCTGCTCCTGGAGCCACAGAGGCTGAGGCTTTCCTCAGCATTCTGCACCATCCAGTATCTAACATACACTGAATTTTCTGGGAATTTACTGGGTCTTGGGAACTGTATCAAAATGGTGATTTGATTCCTGAGGTGATGCTGTCAGAGGGGGGCTTTGTGTGCTTTCAGGACCCCGAGGAGCGTGGTTGTGTTTGTGCTCACATCTGTGTTTTGGGGGTTGCCGGGTGTGCGGTATCTGCTGGGGCGACGCTGCCCTTCCCCGAGGAGGAGCGGCTTTGGCAGAGCCCTGCAGGTGGAGCTGCGGTCCCAGTTTAGCTGTGTCCATGCTGGAGACGCTCCTGCCTCAGCCTTCCCACTTCGGGCAAGGTGCAGGCCCAGGGAGAGCCAGACCTGGGCTTGGCAGAGTGTAGGTGCAGCTGCAAATGGGGCTGTTCCTGTGCTGGGGAAACAGAACTTCCACAATGGGCTTGTGAGGCTGGAAAGGGACTCAGCTGAGACAGGAGTGGGGTTGTACCTCCTGCTGTGAATGGCAGGCCCAACATCCCCCTAGGGCTGGAGGTCAGAGATAGATCCCATTCTTCTTCAGGTGTAATGTTCCTGTGAGCACCCCAATGTGCAAGCACTGACCGTGCTCTCAGTCTCCACCTGAGATATGGGGGCAAAGGGATCTTACAGGGACCTTAGAGACAAACATTTCTCCTCACAGTGTTCTCTGCTGAGCCTGTGCTCTTGTAGGGCTGAGGCAGCTTTCCATGGGAGGAGCTGACAGACACAGAGGGACTGCATTAGGGTGACACAGGGCATCTCTGGGATCCCACATGACCCTGTGTGTGTGGATTACTGGCCAGCACTCAATTCCTCAGTGTAGGACCATAGATCAAAATGGCTTGGAAGGGAACTTGACTGTCATCTAGCCCAATTTCCCCATCCAAGTAAGCATCAACTTGCCTTACATCATTCCTGACAAATGTTTGCCCAGCCTGACCCAGAGGCTCCCATTGCTGGTTAGGACTTTAGCACGCAATCTGTCCTCATGCTTTGTGGTTCTGTCTGCTAGAAAGTTTTCTTTTGTCATGGCAGCTCTGCTGTGTCTAAACTGAGCACTTCTGAGGTGGAGAACAGCTGTCTCTCTCCTTAGAGGACCTCCCATGTGGTAGTCTGTTCCCATATTTCCTCACAGTCTTCATTTCTGGGACAAAAAACTCCAGCACTTCTTTCTGTAGGGAACTTGCACATCCTTCCTTCCCTGCTTGTGAAATGTAAGATGGACCATGTGTGCTTCAGACTTGCTAGAGGCAGTACTTGTGCCTCTGCTGAGTGGGATAATAAAGCTGCTAGAGCCCACCCTGTTATAGAGCAGTCATTTCCCAAGTGAAGACTATGCCAAAACTTGAATTGACTCTTTTTTTTTTTTTTGGTCTGGGAAAGTTACTAAAAAGTGTATTTAAATATTATTAAACTACAGTCCTGATGCACAAATAAGAAGGTTTCTCTCTCACACTCAAGAAGATAATGAGGTACCAAGAGAGGTTTAATCCAGTTTCCAGGCTATTTCCTCTTCCATACATGTTTTGAGATGCTTTGAGTTCAGTGTCAGAAGTTTCAGATGTTGTTCTGTGGAGGATCATGTCACAGTCCTTCTCTGTTTCTTTTCCTTGGCAGCTGCTGGCCAATCTCAGTGCGGTCCATCCAGTCTCTGGTGAGCACAGGGGCACTTTTATGACACTCATCTCATCTGCTGCTTGGTGACAGGACTCAGCACCCTGCTGCAGTGTGAAAAACCAGATTGGCTGTGCTGCTTTCCCCTGCAAACCCAGACAGTGAGCAGAGCACCAGCAGTCACTTCTCTGCAGCAAGTGCCTCTCTGAGCACAATGAGAGTGGGCCAGGGGGCTGCTGCAAGGGCTGGGAAGGTGCATCCTGTTCACAGCAGCCACTGCTGCTCTGACAGTGCTCGAGTCAAATGTGCTGTGCTGTGCTGTGCTGTGCTGCAGACAGGTGCAGAGAAGTGCTGCCACATATTGTGGTCTCTGTGGTTTGTCTCCTTAGTGTGGCTGATGTCAGAACTGTAGCTTTGTTTCAGTGGCAGCTTCTAGCTCTAGAGATCTGCTCCCTTCACCAGCACACCTAAATGGTCACCATTCCATGTTTTGTGTGCTCATCTCAGTATTTTGGGCAGAGTGGGCATGGATGTGTGATTTCAGTGGCAGCTGCCCTGTCAGCATTACAGAGATAACCATGAGCAAGGTTACTCCAGGGTGGAAGGCCTTGGAACCACTGCATGTGAGCAAACTGCTGCCTGGGGAGGAAGGAGCCTTGCCCTTATTTAATGTTTACTCTGGGTTCAGCCTGCTTCAAAGGTCTACATAAGTAGTTTCACACTTCATCCTTTCTTTTGTGACAGCTGGGATGTTCTGAAATCATCCTCTCTGTGGCTGGGTATCACTATAAAAGATGAAATAACCCAATGCAGACACGCTGCTGTTATTAAGGTAAAAAAGGAAAGTTTGTTTTCTGACTTCAGCTTTTATAGATTTTTAAAAGTGACAGGGGATTAGAGGGTGAAAGTTCCACCTCTCCAATGACACTGGACAAACCAACAGTTCATCAAATTTTCCTTCCTCCATAAAAGAATGCAAAACAATAAGTTATTTACAGAAAGTGTGTGAGAAAGTTCGTTACAAGAATGTAAACATCAGAAGGCTTAGAAAATCTTAAAAAATCAGAGTGACAGCAGGGATTCTCAGGTCCTGAGCTGAAATTTGCAACATGGCAAAGAAGAGTTTGCCATCCAAATATCCAGTGGCAACAGGTGTGGTGAGAAGCTGAGGCACAGCAAAAGAAGAGCCATGGCAGAGCCACAGCTAGAGCTCAATGCTCTTAGTGGCATTTCAGGCAAACCCAGCTGTAGCTGTACTTCTTCCTCCTTTTACTGGTATTTTAAAGGGTGTCCATCCCAGCTGTTCCTTGGAAGGATGACGGTGCCTCGAGAGCAGAAAGCAGAGATTGTTATTCCTTGATATGGAGAGTGTTACCAAGAAATGTTTGATTTTGAGAGCCATGGTGTTGGGATGTGACAGGAGGGTCATTTTCACAGTGTGTTACTGGCACAGCCATTGCTAAATGCTGCACAACCTGGAGGCACACAACTAGCAGATTGTTTGGAGGAAGGGGGAGGTGAAGAAAACACAACAAGAAGTTCATCTAGGGAAGACAAGATTCTTGGGAATGGGTGTGTTAAAATGAAGCTGAGGCTTTATCATTAAAGGGGTTTCTGGGACACACAAAGGTGATACAGAGACTCCATCATCAGAAGACATGAAAAGGCACTTGATTATTAGAAATCCACAGTTCTTATAGAAACAATGGTGGACCTAAGACCTGACTGGCCTTTAGGAATCTTCTCTCACCTATTGGTCAAGAAGGAACAACTTCTTCTTGTAAACATCTTTGACAAACAGATTGCCTGCCAGGTGCAGAGATTGAGATAGTAATTGTTTTAATTCTTTCTCTGAGCTTTTCACAGCTTCTTAGGAAAATCCTGGGAGAGCTATGTCTCTGTTCAGAGGATATGTGATTACCACAAGATTTTAGTAGGGAAGGCCTGTGCTGCCATATTCCTGCTTTGCCACTCTGAAATCCTAAGTAGAAGTGTGGGACTGAGTCTCTGTAAAGTTAATATAGGAGGCACACTGAGCATTTCTGCTTGCTGCCTGCACTTCAACAGGTGAGTGCAGCCCCTTCTGCAGTGTGGGTGGATTCCTGGTGGACCACAGGTGATGAGGAGCAACAGTGGACAGAGCACAGCACTCTTGTTCATCTAGAACAGAGCACTCTGAGTGTGTCACAAAGATGCCACTGGCCTGAGTTTCTATAAACACAGTTTCTGTGGAAGTTGCCAGGTTGGGTGTGAGTATAGGGGAGGCAGAGCTCTGCTTCTCAAGGCATGTGCTCAGCAGTGGGAGATTTTTGATTCCCACTTTACATTAGTTGCTACCTACAGTTTTAGCTCCCTACCTGCTGCTTCTCCCTTTCTTGGTGGTCACTTGTCTGCCATGTTTTGTACGTACACAGCAGCATGCTCACAGTGGGACATGTCCACCAGCTTGGTAGCACAGGGCCTGTGCCCATGGAATCCTTCCCTTGGCAGCCTGAGCTGCTGCAGGAGCTGCAGTACCCAGCAGTGCTGGTGGGAGAGTGGCTTCTGCCATCCTCTCTCTTCCTACTGCAATACTCATGTGAGACTGACTGGAATGTGAGCACAGTTGCTTGGGTTGTTGAAAAAGGCTTGATTTATTATAAAATTCCTGGCCTGGCATTTGGCTGATGATTAATTC